CTTAGTTTGGGAATGATTTTGTAATCCTTGTTTGATTTTTTTTTATATCCAGAAAAATACAAAAAGGAAGCGAAAACTAAGGTTTGCTTATTAAAATTTTTCTTTCACAAGTTAGTGCATTGTTTTTGCAGGATGTAATTAAATGAGGAAAGACAGTCATCAGATGTAAAAGCCATTACACTGCAGAAGACTTTCCCACTGGGAGTCTGAACTGTTAATAGAACGACGGCTTCTTATTTCTGCTTGGAAGGTGCTTCCCTCATCTTCCGTTCTATTTCATACACCGAGTTTCTTCCCTGAGCCAATTTATTTTATTTTGTAGAGGAGGAAAACTTTCTTTCCTTACATCCATTGCTAAATTTATGGCTGAGGAAGGTAATGCAAAAGTCTGATTAATAGAAGAAATGAATACAAATTTATTTATTTTATGTGTCACAGGAGCCTTAATAAGGCCATACCAAGGGCCTCTTTGAACACTCTTTAGTATACTCTAGTGGGAAAATACAATGGGGGTATTTTCATATCACATGCCAAACAGCAAGTTAGCATACTCAGTATTTTGAAATATTTTATTATTTTTATTTTATGTGTATGAGTGTATTGCCTGCATGTAAGTGCACCCATGTTGTGGAATACCCGAGAAGGTCAGAAGAGGATGTTGGATCCCCTGGTACCGGAGTCACGGAAGGTTGTTAGACACCTTGTGGGTGTTGGAAATCGAACCCAGGTCCTCTGCAAGAGCAGCCAGTGCTCTTTAACCACTGAGCCATCTCTCCATCCCTGTATTCAGTATTTTAAACTAGAGGATGCTGAGGGCATGGTGACACATGCCTGTAATCCCAGCACTTGAGATGTAGACCCAGGAAGATCAGGGGTTTGAGATTGTCCTTAGCTATATAGTGAGTTTAAGGCCAGCTTAGTTTTTATGAAACCTTGCCTCAAAAAACAACAAAAACAAAGAGAACTTGAGAAGACTGCTCTCCTGGAGGGGGTCATAGAAATCTCCATGGCATGAAACTCGGTTAGCCATTATCTGGCTTTTTCCTGCCTTCTCCCATGAAGACTTTTAGATGAAAGTATTTTGCCAAATATCCAGAAGAAAGGAGTGTCAGATAGAGACACAAAAAGAATCAGAGCTGGAGAGCGGGCTCCTCTCACTTCTGCCGCATAGATCACACCCGTTTGACCTGCAGTCATCCTGTAGGTCTGTGCAGAAGCATACTTTTCTCAGGCTTTTTAAGTCTCCACTTTGGAAGACTCGTGCCATTTATAACTTGCCTTTTCTCCTGTTAAGCTGTTTATTTGTCACAGTATCTCAGTCATGACTCTTTGGATGAGTGAGGGAAAAATGCTTTTTCTACTTTCTTGGATGGTGAGGTTTTCTTCCAATGGTGAGAACCTGGAGGGAATTTGGCAAGGGCTGTTTGCTTACACTTTTTGGGTCTCTGTATCTTCACATAAAACAAGGATGCTCTTTTTCTCTGGATATTGAAAGGGACCTCTCTCTCACACATGAAGATCTTATGACCTGTGTCTGGGGACAAAGGCAAAGAAAAGAAAGAATGATCTTCCTCTTTCCACTGTTTCCTCAAACGCCAGCACACTATATCTGGGGACAGAGTGTCCCTAAATTTCATCACCCTGTTTTGCAAAGACTATATTATTGAACTGAATGACTGATGGATATTGAGAAAGAGACAGACAAGACCACCTCAAAACATGTCTGTGAAAAGTCAGTGAGACTTTGGGCAGACTAGTCTCACTAAGTTACTCTCCTTAAAGTACTCTTACACTGAGAAGTGCAGTTCTCTGCTTATAACAACCTCCTACTAACACCACTAACACACTTGACACCCATCATGACTTCCTCTAACTGAAGGCTCTTTTCCTAGTATGGGGGCAGTGAGGTGCCTGCGTAAGGAAACTTGACATGTTACTGGCTTCCTGGATCAGAGTTTATTGTCTCATGACCAGTGAGCACAGCAGGGTGAGCAAGCGAGGTTTATTGAGAAGTAACAGTAGAGTCGCTGTTCCCTACCACAAGGAGGGGGTCTTCCAAATGGATTGCCAAGTAGTCATCTGGATCAGAGATTCTTTCATATCTTGGGAATGGGCCATATGGATCTTGCCCATATGTAAATTAAGCACCAAGTTGGGATGAACCTGGTTGGTTAATGTGAATGTATATGGGGGATTCTGATTTGTCAGTAGATGGGTAGATGGAGTGGAAGAGTACAGACTCACAAAAAGCCCACTAAAGAAAAAATACAACACACACACCACATATGCACTCATACCACATACATACTCAAACCACACAAACACATGCACCATAGACACACAAGTACCATAGACACACACATCCACTCTGCATAAATGTACACTACACACACATACCACACACACATAGACCACATGTACACACACCCCACAGGACACACCCCCACAGCACACACACACATGCCACACAAATGCACATCACATACATACACATAGATCACACCCCACAGACACATAACACACACTCCACATACACACCCCACACAACACCCTCCTCTCCATACACCTGCACACCACACCACACACACACAGATCCCACACACCCCACACATACAGACCCCACAAACATACACACACCATACATACCACACACATATACCACATATACACACACCACATACCACACACCACACACCACACACATACACACATGACCTTGTAGATTTTTAAGGAGGAAGAACTAGGTAAAAAGCACAAATTCTTGTGAGGGGGGCCACATCTTGATCAGTCAGAGCCTTTGGATTTCAGCTCCAGGCCCTTCATTTGTTCCTTGGACTTAGCACAGATTGTGTAGAGTTCAGCATAAAGCTCCTGGGCCAGTAAGATGGCTCAGCACATAAAGACACTTGCCCCCAAAACTTGACAGCTTAATTAGATCTAAGGACCCAAGTGGTAGAAGAAAAGTGACTCCCACAATTTGTCCTCTGACCTCTACAGGCAAGATGCAGCAAGAGCACGCACACACACACACACACAACACACACACACACACACACACATACACACACTAAACAAACAAATAAAAAAAAGCACCACACAAACCCTGTGTTCATAGAATTTACAGATTTCTCCAGGGCACATAGATTCTTCTGTTTCTTTGGGCCTGTGACCCTGACTAGCTGCCTACATAATGGGGCTGTCTCTTTCCCAATTCCTATCAGTAGGATACCTTATTCTTTGTTCCAGTCAAAACTTGGTGGCAGGCCCTTGACTCCACTCCTCCAGCAGTTATTTTAGAAACTTACCACATTCAATCTTTTTTCTGCCCTTCCTGATATAAATCTGATGCCTGAATGGTTTCCTCAAGACTCATTTCTTTCGAGCACGAATATTCAAGGAGATTATTCTTGTCGTGCCCCCCCCCCCGCCATATCTTGGGAGTTTAAGGGGGGTGCATTGCTTCGAGGTGCATCAAGGTCTAGTGTCTTAAAGATGAGATGCTTGTTTCTTAGTTTAATAAGTGCCAATTAGCAAATTCAGATGACTTAATCACACTGACTGCTCCCCTTCAACACTGCATTTTCTTTTCATTAGCACACCCCATCCTTTAAAAAGTCTTCAGATTTTACTTTAGGGAAGTGGACTTAGTCCATGTTAGGACTCGAGGTGCATCAAGGTCTAGTGTCTTAAAGATGAGATGCTTGTTTCTTAGTTTAATAAGTGCCAATTAGCAAATTCAGATGACTTAATCACACTGACTGCTCCCCTTCAACACTGCATTTTCTTTTCATTAGCACACCCCATCCTTTAAAAAGTCTTCAGATTTTACTTTAGGGAAGTGGACTTAGTCCATGTTAGGACTTCCATCCTATTACAGTAGCATTCCTATGTGAAGTCTGCTGTCATTATCTTAATGTCTGCCTTGTTGATCTGCAACATTAATCAAATATCCTCTGTGTGCTGCCCACTTCAAAGTCGGTGCAATGGTGAGTGTTTTTCAAAGTGCATTGATCTAATCACTTAAGCATTGCAACAGAAACTGGAAGAGAGGATACGAAATCAGACATTTAGCATATTTCAGTCCTAGCATGGCCCTAAATCATTGCTTGTAATGCATGTGTGCAGAACGATGAAGGCAGCATAGCAAGGGAAAAAATCACATGTCTTAGAAGCTTTTTGGTTCAATTCCTCATTCTATTGTTTTAATTAGCATCTGAGCATCTACGTCTCTTTCTCCTTATTTGAGAATAGAAACACTAATATCTACTGTCTTGAAGGGCCGAGACTGAAAGAGAAACTGTGCATGATGCATAGTATTTAACTAAGAGTAATTATCAATAAATATTCACTCCTCTATGCTTTTAATCCACGGTAATCCTGAAGACAGTATTTCCTTTCTGGTGTGACAATGATGAGCCTTCTTCTGTCTCCTTTATATGCTTACCTGTGATTTCCTCCTGTAGGCAATGAACTTCTTCATGGATATCATTTTTACAAGCACCTCCAGCTCCTGGTAATTGGAAAGTACTTAATACAGATTTACTGAATGAGCATATACGTAACACATGCAAGCAAGCAGAACTATCACAAATTGATAATGAACTCAAAGAACCAAAACTGCTTAATAATTTGCATAGACCAAGTCAACGAGGCATTTTAAATTCAGTTGGGAGTGTAACAAAGGCATCTTAAGAAACTAATCTATGCATCTATCTTAGAATTGGCTTGAAAATGATTATTTATTACATCGCATTTCAGTTTTCTTAAGAATTTGCAGTCTCAGAAACAGGATCTAAAGGTAGAAATGGGAAATTTCTACAATGTAATTTTCATTTCCTCCTTTGGCGATTGGTTGGACTACTTAAGCTGAACTTCTTAAACCTCCGCGAATGCCCATTTCACATGATTTGATTTAGAGATCCTCTTTTGTCCTGGCAGTTCTTTTAACTGGAAAAAGGAAAGAGCACTCAATTACTCTGTCTATTTAGGGCCCTATAAAACAATGGAATATCATTCTCATTTAGAAAATATGGATGAAGACGGTTATACTCAATTAAACTTCAACTCCAAAGGCAACTTCAGAAGACCTATGGACCCAGAGAAAGGTAGACTTATTCTTTCTGCCTATATACCTCTATTCTTATCAACTAAAATAGTAGAAGTAGAGAATTTGAGAGGCTCATGATTTCTAGAACTTTCCTTGACATGTAGTTTTAAAAGTTGTTAGACATCATTGCATATCATGTGAACATGCAGTAAGCCTATTCCTGGAAACCATTCAAAGACTGTTAGACAAATTGCCTATGATTTCTGGCAGGAAATATGACTGTTCTGTTGTAAGTGATGGATGCTTCCTCAGTGGGAGGCAGAGCTGGTATACGTATGGTGATAAAGAAAGGTGCACAATTTCAATAGAATGACTTGGTGCCTGTTTCATCATCAATTGTGTGGAGGGGTGTCAGAGACTTAAAGAGGTATACACAAACATACACAGCCACACAGAACATTGTGCTAAAAAAGAAAGTGAGAAAATAGAAGGCAGATGACAAAAATTTAAAAATCATTTTCAGTTAAAAACGAAGAAAAGTCAGGAAGTCAAGAGTCACAGAATTTAATATCCCAGATCTCATATGTTTTGTGATAAGAGATTTGAACTTTTTGAATTAGTTCTTGGTAAATCAGTGATGGAACCCACATGTCACATCAAAGCGTCCCCTTAGCAGGAGGCCAGTCTCAAGTGTGAACAGATGAGATATGGAGGACACTGAGGAGCTCTCTTTACAGCGGGACAGTTTGTCTTCTCCTTGAGTCTCTTATTTGACAGCGCTGAAATCCCCTAGGGCTGCTGGTGGTGTGGAGAATGCAACACAAAATCAGTTCTCTGTTATCTTCATGAAAGAGATGATTCACAGGTTTTGACATCAGGGTTTGCTTTCTTCTTCCTTTTGGTATTCACGTTATGCAATTTTTTCCTCTTATAACCACTTAGGCAATTCTTTTATTGGGCAACTTGTTTGGAAAAAATAGAAAAAACAGAGTGAAGGAGGAAGCAAGAAGGGTGTGTATGTACAGACACGGTACCGATCAATAACGAGCTAGTACTTTCTAACAATGTGTTTCTACATGGGTTAACTCATCTACTTCCAACAGCAATCGTCAGTCCAATTTTACAAAGAGAAATGAAAAAGAAAGGAAAAAAGAGGAAAATAAAGGAAATCATTTGTTCAAATTATGCGCTAAAGTGAATGAGAAGGGAACACTTTCCTTGGTAGTTAGTGCTATTTCCATAGCAGCAGTGACTAACGCTCCCTTTAGAATTGGCCACATTTCAATTAGCTGTGGAATTAGAAGGATCCACAACCAACCACCCTCCTTCATTTTGTTTCTATCCCCACTCACTCCTCAGGACAAAGGACTCCATCTCCTCCTTGGCGCCTCATAGCTGTGGCTTTTGGAATCCTGTGCTTGGTCACACTGGTGATTGCTACCGTGCTGGGTGCCCTAGGTGAGTAAAGGTGGGGGAGACCGATTGCAGTCACAGACAAGTCACCGATTAATCAGTTAATCAGTTAACATGGCCTGACACCCTTTTAAAGACTTGACATGCATAATTTCATTTAATTTGTACACTAAGCCCACTGAATTCATGTGTTTAATTCCCATGTCACTTATAAAAGGATGGAGTGACTGGGAGGTTTATAGTCATATGCAGCTAGTGGTGCGGCCATGATTAGAAATGTAGGGAATCTGATTTTTAAAAGCAAATATTCTTAACTATAATGCTCCAGTATTCTCACAAATAGTTGAATTAAAAAATATGGAATTTAAATGATAATTTGGTGGAAGGAAACCTGAAAACTGGAGCAGGAAACACAGCACACGCACAGTCCATGCTCCTGATTCAAGAAACACACTACATGAAATGCTCCTAAGACATGAAACAAAATACATGCCATGCTCCCAATAGAGGAAACACACTACATGAAATGCCTTTAATATAGAAAACAGTACATACTATGCTTCTGGTGCAGGAAACACAGCACACGCCATGTTCTTAATGTAGTAAACATAGCACATGCCATGCTCCTAATACAGGAAAAACAGTACATGTTATATTCCTAATGCAGGAAACAATACACGCCATGGTCCTAATGCAGGAAACATAGGATGTGCCATGTTCATAATGCAGGAAACATAGTACATGCTATGTCCCTAATACAGGAAACACAGTACTTGCTATGTTCCTAATGCAGGAAACACACTACATGCCATGCTTCTAATGCAGGAAATATACAACATGCAATGCCCCTAATGCAAGAACCACAGTACACGCCATGCTCCTAATGCAGGAAACATACCACACACCATGTTCCTAATACAAGAAATATACTACATGCTATGCTTCTAATACAGGAAATACACCATGTGCCATGCTCCTAATGCAAGAAACACAGTCATACTATGCTCATGATGCTAAAAACATTTCATGGCATCCTCATAAGAAAATGACTATGCTATTTCTGTGAGCCTCATATGTTGAAATTATTTTATGTGTGATCTTTAATACAAAACTTCTCAAATATAACAAGATTTACCTAAGACACTTAATAAGTACAAAGCAGACATTTTGTGATCCCTGAATAGATTTCTTTAGATTTTTATACTTCATGCATCATCTGGTATCAATAAAGTTTTATTCTGGGTTCAGACAGTCTTTGTCACTAGTAATTAGTCAATGCTTATAGAGCATGAATACATTCTAGTAATAGGTGTTGAGTAGTTCTCAGGGAGCTGTCATTTTACATGATAGAGAAAAAATCACAAGAAATATTACTATTTCAAATATTTTACAGCTGTAGTTACTTCTTTGCTTCTTTAAAAAAATGTTATTTTTAAATATGTGTATGTGTGGGGAAGGGGGCAGAAGCCTCTGAATGCAGGTGCCCACAGAGGCCAGATCTCCTGGAGCTGGAGTTATAGGCAGCTGTGACCCATCCATGTGGATGCTGGGATTCCAGCTCTCATCCTCTGTAAGAGCAGTAGATGATCTTAACCAGAGCCATCTCTCCAACCCTTGTATTTTTATTTGCTTCTTGCAATCTCCTCCATAGAAATTATTTATTCTTTCCCATCTATTTGATCTATCTATCTATCTATCTATCTATCTATCTATCTATCTATCTATCTATCTATCTATCTATCTATCTATCTATCTATCTATCTATCTATCTATCAATCAATCATCTATCTATCTATCTATCATCTATCTTTCTTATCATCTATCTATCCTCTATCGTTTGTCTATCATCATCTACCTATCTATAGCTGCCATCTGACACTTTATCTTTCCATCAGCAATATATCATCTATCATCAATCATAGATTTATACACTTATGTGTTTTAATATAATATGAACTGGGCTTTTAAAATTTCAAACACAGCAGAAATGACTTTGTTTTTTCTGTCACTATTATTGTTCGTGATATATGAAGCATTTTGGAGATCCAGCTCAGGGAGAAACCCAGAGGAGAAAGATAACTTCCTATCAAGAAATAAAGAGAACCACAAACCCACAAAATCATCTTTAGATGAGAAGGTGGCTCCTTCCAAGGCTCCCAAAACCACAGGCAAGGACAAAACTGTTGAACGGAATCCATGATTCAAGAGGGTTAATTTCCAGGTGCTAAGGCATGGGGCTGGGAGAAGAAGGGACTATGTTTAGATCCAATAACAGCACATTCAAGGCAAAGCACATCTGATGATGTTTTGATAGCATCCCATGTCCTGTCAGATTCATGATAAAGTGTTTTCATAAGCATGTATGGTTGAACACTTACAAGTTGTACTTTTTATAAGGGTCAGTGCCTGCTTTGTCGCTGGCTGTGTGCCTAGATCTATAGGATAGTATATAACTTGATGCAAAGGAAAGGAAGCGTTCTGTGCCCTTAGGGAACTGATACTTTTAAAGTGATATTGTTAGAATGAGACACAGTACATGGAAGAAGAATTTCAGAGAAAAAGTAAGGAAGGGAAACTGTCTTCAACAATTAAAGCACTTAATTAAAAACATTTAAAAGAGAAAGCAGGCACGGTGGTATATACCTCTAAGTCCAGCACCCGGGAAGCAGAGGCAGGTGGATCTCTGTGAGATGGAGGCTAGCCTGGTCTACATAGCAAGTTCCATGCCAGCAAAGCTACATAGTGAGACCCCATTTCAAAACAAACAAGCAAACAAACAACACATATACACACACAAACACACATACATAAAGGAGATGGACTTAATACATATATTGCTAAAAACTCTGGTTAAATGCATTTAATCGTAACATTTAATTGATTTCATAATTTTCCTACACTTGGCATCATAATTGACTGACAATATTTTCCCTTCAATTTCCTGCTCTTCCTCATCGTTTTCAGCTAAAAATAAGTAAAAAGATTCTTTGAAATATAAATAATTACACACATGTCTTTCCATAAAATGCATGAAGTAATGAGATTTCTGTGCATCCCAATGATTAACTCTGTCTATTTTAGGAGCTGAAGTAGAGAAAGAGAGTTCTTGACTAAAGTTGAAGAGATGGAACAGGAGTCTGGTTGTCTGTCCAAAATACTACTTGCCGTTACTCATCCACTTTAAATTTTTAATATTTTTGCTTATTATTCTAATTTTTTATGTGTATGAGTGTGTTGCCTGCATGTATGTGAGTGCACCCATGTCATGCAATGCCACGGAGGTCAGAAGAGGATTTCAGATTCCCCTGGAACTGGAGTTAAGGACAGTTAGTAGCTGCCATGTGGGTGCTGGGAATCGAACCCAGGCCCTCTGCAAGAGCAGTCAGTGCTCTTAACTGCTGAGCCATCTCTCCAGCCCCTCACTTTAAATTTTTAAATGAATGAAATATATATATATATATATATACATATATACATATTCTGTAAATTTTTGGTAAAATTGGAATTGAAAATTAAACACGTGAATGGAAAATCATTATTTACTAAACACTCATAAAAATGCAGTAAAGGATGAATACACACACTGTGAATTTCACGATCTTATGTTTTGTTCCCAGGATTCTTTTCCGGCCCTTGCTCCCCTAATTGGATCATGCACCAGAAGAGCTGTTATTTATTTAGCATGTCACTAGAATCTTGGCACACAAGTAAGAGACGGTGTTCCCAACTGGGCTCTAATCTCCTGAAGATAGACAACGCAAATGAACTTGTACGTGCAGACTTCAGCTGCAACTACCTGTAATCTATATTCCGGAGAAAAACTGGGAGAGATTCCTGGTAGTAACAATGTGTTCTTCAATGTTCTCTATAACTGCAAAATTGTGCAATTGTTATATGAAGTGCATCATGTCCACTTACAATTTTAAATGCTTTTTATATTTTTGTATTTTATGTATATGAGTGCTTTGCCTCCATGTACATAAGTACAACTTGTGTGCAATGCCACAGAGGCCAGAAGGCAGCACCGGATTCCCTGGAAGTGGAGTTATAAACTGTTAGCCACCATGTGAGTACTGGGAATTGAACCAGGGTCCTCTGCATGCATGCACAAAATAAATCAACAAACGTAAAAATATTAAAATAAACCAGTTCGAACAAATTCCATTGCTATTTGAATACAGTAGTGAGGTCTCTCAGTTTTTGTGGGTTTGCCTTTCAATTTCTAAATTTGGTGAAGTATAACAGAAAATTTTCCCACTTTTCAATATAGTTATCAAGAAAACTATTAGCAATGGTAATATAATTGATGAATTATTTGTCCTTTGAAAGATACAGGGGAAGGTAAGGAGGTGTTATGTTTGATTTTTGTCTTCTTTTTATTTTTGAGATATGGTTTCCTTGTTAGATGAGACTAGTCTGGAACTCACTATGTAGCCAGGGTTGACTCGAGTTTGTGGCAAACCTCCTGCCTCTGTTTCTTAAGTGGCAAAGAGGGTTAAAAAACAAACTTTTTGAGGGCTGGAGAGATGACTCAGCAGTTAAGAGCAATGGCTGCTCTTGCCTCTAGATTCAGTTCCCAGCACCCACATGTTGGCTAGAAACCACCTGTAACTTCAATTCCAGAGGATCTGATGCCTTCTGATCTCTGTGGGCTCTGCACTACACAGGTGTACATGCAGGCAATACACTCATACACATAAAGTAAAAATAATAAAATATTTCAAAAATTAAACATCTATTAATAACAACATAGAAGTTTGGACATATGCCTCGAAATAAAAGAAACTATAGAAAAAGTAAAACTTAAATATAAGTTGAACCCAAATGTCCTTCAGTGTAAATGTATCCACTGGAGTCTAGTCAGTCAGCCCATCCAGGGGTCATATGTAAGTCATACTCTCCCTCATCCAGCAGCAATCAGTCTCAAATAGTTCTCTACCAAGTGCTGGCCCACCACCTATTTCTCACCTCCCCTTTGGGCCCTTGTTTAACTGAACTGACGCTGCCACAGGCTCACATGAGCAAGCCTCCAGTGGCCTGGAAGCCTCCACCTCCCTTTGTTCATGAACCAGCCAGCCCTGGCTTTTACAATCTTTCTGCCTCCTCTTCTGAAATGGTCCCAGACACCTGAATGAATAGGACTCATCATGTATGGCAGATTGCATAGGGTTCTGTCGGGGGATGGGGGAAGCATGGATGGGGGAGGGGGTCTGGATTTAATTAAATTTAAAAAGCTCAATATAAAGAAAATATATATGTTGAATGAAAGGTTGGATTCAGATGAGCTGGGGGAAGGCAGTAACAGAGAGCACCCCATGTTGCAGTTCCCATCAGTATCTTCCATCCTGGTTGCTCTACTCTGTTTCTATTGGTCTATAATGCCATGTAGCCTATTCTTTGTTGGCATTCCAAATCTATATAGGAAAACTGACAATGACTTTAAGAAAATTAACTACAGCTTTCCAGACATTCAATAATATTCAAAGACCGACGCTTGTCTCTAGACTGTCAGCTTACATGGACTTCCTTCTCTGGTACGATTCTTTCATTAATCTTGGAATCAACATCTTTATCAGGCTCCCTCTGATGTACTCTTGTGTTTTGTTCCACTACAGGAGTTTATTGAAAGCCAAGTGTCCTCTCACCCTGCTAATTCATTTTGGATAGGACTTTCTAGAAATCAATCTGAAGGAGCATGGCTCTGGGAGGATGGATCAATATTGTCTCCCGATTTGTAAGTACCTGCAGAGGCAATCCTTCGACCTCTTTTTCAGAGAGATGAAAGCCGTCAGTTAAGAATCTGACCTTGCCACATGTAATAGAGGAAGAATCATGGTGGTGGGGAGGAGAAAAATTATCTAGGAAAGAAAAGAATAGGGTAGAGGGGAGGATAGCCATCTAAGGCTGCTAACTCAGGAGCTCCCTTGGCATCTGGTCCAGATGAGGAACAGATGCTGCTACTGGATGGAGCATCAAGATCAAGCATCAAGTCAAGTTCTTACTGTGACTAAGAACCTGGGCTTCAAGATCAGAGCTCAGCGTGAAGTAATGACTGGTCTACTCACTGTGCATGTGTCATTGGATAAATCACTGTATTTCTTTGAGTAAAAGTAAAACCATTAGCATTGTGTTTTAGACAAAGCTAGTGTGTAATAATACATCTTATAGTTATTTTAAACATTTCACTTTTGTGTGATTCCAAATCCTTCCTCATTGTATACTGAAATCTTTCTCATTGTAGTTGATATTCATTTGCTGGTGCATGCATGTGTGTGTGTTATGAATCTCTTTTTTTTCATTAATCTCAGAAGTGTATGAGTCAATTTAATTAATTTTGACCTTGATGTCCCTTTCTCTTATTACTTCTTCAGTTAATTTTGATTCTCATCTCATTTTTATTACTTCCTTCTGTCTCATTTCTTTGTGTTGAGTTGAATTCTTTCTCTGACTTCTTATCTTTAATGCTTAACTCTTGAATGTCAGCCTTTCTTTCCTTTGGTAGTCATTTAGTTAAAAATGTTTTCTGATTTCCACTGTGAGCTGTTCTTTGATCTGTGAGTTATTTAGAAATAAACTTCCTAATCTATGTACATACCTGTGTTTCTAAGGTTTATAGTTATCTGTTTGTTTTAGATTTCAGGCTTAGCTCCTCTGTGATCAGAGAACATACTTCTTGTGACAGAAATTCCCTCATTTCTATGTGCTTCTTCTTCCTGTTCAGAGAGATTTGTAATAAAAGCATATGCTATGAGTTCTCCTGCAGTTCTGGGAGCATTTTATTTGATATTTTGAAACCATGTTATTAAGCACATATAGATTTAGAATTGTTATGTTTGCTCAATGTTACTTTTTCTTTCTTTTTCTTTCTACTGTTTTGCTCTTTGTATTTATTTCTAACATTTTCAAGTTAACCTGTTTCTTTTCTCATCTGTGACCAATCAGCGGTTAAAGCCTCCATCAAGTTTCTAACTTCTAGCCTAGAATTTTAGCTTGGTTCTTTTTTAACTCTACCCTGTCACCAGTCAGTAATTCCTGTTTCTTTCAGTAGTCTCAATATTGCCTTTTAACTCCTAGCATCCATTCAGCATAGTTGTTTTAACAGTTGTACTTGCTAATTCTGTGTATTTTGTTTTTCTCCTGTCCTTCATTCATTCATAGACTTGTTTTCTCACCTGCCTGATTACTTCATGTGTTACTGCATCTTGAAATGTTTCTTGTATTAATATGAAGTTTTCAGGGTAGCTTTTCATTCACTTTTGACAGGTACCATTGAGAATGCAGAGCATAAACCCCTGGGTGTGATCACATGTTTACTCAGCAGTACTAACCACTTCACTTTGACTGATCTAAGCACAGCTAATTAATTATCTATGGAATTTATTACCTATTCTTCTGAAAGCATTTATTCATTTTAATTCACTTTACAATTTTAAACATGTAATTAGAGGAGTCTCAGTAAATTCATAAGATGGACTTCAATTCACATTTTGATATGTTGCTGCTTCTTGATTTCCAATGTGGCAGTAACTTCATCTGGCTATACCATATACCCCCAAACCACTTGAATGTCAGGAAAAAATTTCAGCAAATACTGGTTAAAATTCTCCTTGAGACATGGATGAAGATAGTTGATTTTAGTCATCTCTAGAACAGAGTTTCTCAATATGCCCAATCATAGGGTAAAGAAGAGGCAGAGAGCTGAGGTGAAGTGCACCAGGTCGTGGCTTTTGCACTGTGACTCAGTGATGCTCTTTGAACTTGACTCGCTGCCATGGCTCCTTAGTTTATTCAGCTATTAATAGTAGTATTTCTTGAAAAGCAGAGAGTCATTTTCCCACCTTAATTATGGTTACAGTTCTATTACCACTGGATAATCAATACAATCCAAAATAAAGATTCCTTTTCCAATAATATAGACAACCCAGAACTATTTTAACAATATCCTTATTTGCTTACTTATTTTTAGCTATATTAGACAGTATTGCTTATTCTTGTGTTGATACTTCATTGTATTTCATTTTAACAGGTTTCAAATCAGAAACACACCTACCCAGGAAAACTCACTTCACAATTGTGTATGGATTCATTTGTCAGAGGTTTATGACCAAATCTGTAGTACTGCCTCATTCAGCATCTGTGAGAAGCAGCTGCAAATATAGAAGTGGGGAATGGAGGAGAAGAGATAAGTAAGGAGAGCGTGCCCATCAGCACACACATGCGCATATGCACACCATAAAACAAAACAACAAAAATAATTAAAAAAAAAAAAAACAGTAGGAGAGTTGCTTGTGGT